TATGTTAAATTAATATCATGATATAATTTGCATCATGAAGCATCGCATGAACTTTGGTTTTCGTTATAAGAGAGGGGATTGAAAAATTGCCCCAGCCTGTCTAAAAATTTCGTACCAATGCTTAGCCACTTTTGCGTAAAAAGTTTCAAAAATACAATTTTTTTCCAAATAACGACTTTTCGGAATAGGGCGTTATATGTGGAGTGGTCGAAACACTAAACCCATTCGAATCATTTTTAACAGCCTTTCTCCTTGGATTAAAACTGGTTACTGGTGTACCAAATGTCATCGAAATATCTCAAAAATTGCGACCGGTAGCTTGAGCACAAACGTACATGGACAGACGGACAGATAGGTTTAGATCGATTTAGAAAATGATTCTGAATAATAAAAGGTGGGTCTATCTATTAAGCACTTCTGTGTGTTACATACGTCCACACTATCTTTATACACCCTGTGCCATAAATGGTGTAGGGTGTAATTAGCTACGTACATCATTTTACAGGACCGCACGTGTCGACAGTTCATCGTTGTTTTTTTAATGATAATTTGTTGGCGCATCGGAAGATTCAGATTTCAAGACAACAAAAATCTTTTCCTTGGTGTTTTAACGATGAGTTTTTCTCCTTCACCAAAAGAGGATTAAACGTCTCTTGAGCAGAAACTTTTTTTTAATTTATGACTCGAAAAGACTTGCAAATGGTTAAGAAGATGTTATCATTAAACAGTTATATTATTATACATTAGTTACTATGTTCGTAGGTTGACATATCGATGTAAATCTTTTGCGGATATAATAACGACATTCAAATGAAATGCGTCCATATTGCATGACATTCCGGCGATTAGTTGGCACGTTACAAAGTTACTTTTGTTTTGGTAAAAAGATTGGAAAAATCGGAGTTTCATGTGTTGTATCACTAAAACAACTGTAATTTGTAAATTAACGATCGGATTATCGGATTCGTCAAAAGTCATCTTATTTATGTACATCATCCTAAAAACTTATTGAGTGATGCCGGTTTACATAGGATAGCTCAAGTAGATGCAAAAATGTTTAAATTAATCGTTTAAGTCTTTTTTCGATGCCACTTTGGACAGAGAAAGAAAAATAGCGAGAGAGATGAGTAAGGGATTCTTGAGTGAAATTAATCTCTGTTGGGAAAAATATTTACTCGCTACAAAGTTTGATGTTAAATTCTAGATGCAATAACTTTGAAAATTACCTTTGACTTTTCGTTAATTATTAAAAGTCAGGAAAAGTGCGAAATTGTTATATAAATATATGAATTTGGAAATTATTTAAGACAATGACTTTAAATCATAAGATGTGTGGGTGTCGGGTTTGTGTTGTTGCTTAATCTCCTCGCATTAAACGAAAGTAACTTTCTTAGTTTAGTTTTCTAGATCTAATCGAGTTTCAAGCCAATTATTAATGTCAACCTATCTATATAACGCAGATGACATGAATGAAAATGAATGGAAATGTGACGTATTTTGCGATAATCAGAAAATCCTATAGATATCTTTTTGAAGAATTATTGAAAATCTCAGTGAAGTTTCCGTTTGAATAAATGAAAATAAATATCGGTTAATTTTTCATACATACATACGAATTTATATGAAAAAATAGTAAATAAAATATAAATTTTATTTTAATATAAGTTCACCAAGTCAAACACACATATACACTCACACCTTTGATAACAAATTACATGTAACTCTGGAAAGAAATATAAATTGACAAGAACAATAACACTAACAAAGCAGTGCCAAAAGGTACATATTTTATCATTTACACATATATATATATATATATATATATATATATATATATATATAATGTACATATTTATGCATAGGTACATATATTATCAGCTACTTTCATATCTAGCTTTTCATTATTTCTATAAACATTACAATCATATATATATATACATATATATATATATATATATAAATTAGATCCGTGAGAAAGTTCTGTCGTATTTTAATATCTGTAGGTAATTTCAGTTGTTAATTCCAGGCACACAGGGTGGGGATGCACCATCTGCGGTCTTATGATAAAAAAAGGGAATTGCTTTCCATATCTTTCCTGAGTTAGCGGCAAAGTGCAGAGTAACGAGACGGCGATGAGTAAAGTGCGTTTAAGACATTGCATTTTGGAATGTTCTGACCTTCCGAAGACGGTTTGAAAATTTCTGTTCCAGAGATATCAAATCAGAAGAAGATTATCTATATGGTCGACCATTCAAGGTCGATAACGATGTTGAAGAGTAATCCAAATCTAACAACTAGTGCAATTGTAAAGGGGCTCGTTATTCATCATTCGACTGCTGGGGAAAACCTCAGAGTATTTAAGTTCGGCACAATTTGATTGAAAGAAATTCATCGGATAGTGTGAGAGTCGCGTTCATTTCTCCTTATCCGATGCAGTGTTGAGCCGTTTCGGCTTAAACTTTTTACAGTACATTTATGAGAAATGGATTCTTCACGAGAGCATACAGAGAAAAACGGTTTACTACGAAATACTGGAATATCTGCGACAATTGTTGCAAAATCTGGTCTTCCTCAACGGAAAATGCTGTTCTGTTTATGATGCGATAGAAGAAATTTAATGTACTACGAGTTACTTAAACAGAGTCAAAGCATCAGTGCGAACTTCTTTTGTAATCAACGTGATAAATTGAGTCGAACTATCAAGGAGAAGCGGCCAGTAGTAGTAGCGAAAATAAAAGGAAATCTGCTTTATCAAGACAATGCAAATACCGCTTGGCAAGTACGGGTAGTAGTGCAGGCATCACATTCGCCCGACATAGATCCGTCGGATTACTATCTATTACGATCGCTTTAGAATTATTTGGAGAGAGAAAGAAAATGTGCTTTCTTTGAACTTGTCTCCATAGCACTTGAAGTGAATTGTTACTTCTTCGCCTTCTAGGGGCATCGAGAGGCTACCGGAAAGATGGCAACGTCTGCTTATGAAAATAGTGGAAATTATGTTGTATTATTATATTATATTAAAATGGAAATATTCAATACGACAGAGCTTTCCCGCCAATGTAGCATATATGCCATATATATATATATATAAATATGCTTACTTATGTGTGTATGCATTCATTAACTATAACGTATAGATAAATAAATTTAAGCGACAAAAAAAGTTTTATACATATTTTCCTTTTTCTCCTTTTTTTTTTTTTTTTTTTTCGTATAATACATAAATACATACATTCATACATACATACATACATATATATATGTGTACGTACATATTATCTTAAGCAATCACATTTAAACAACAATAAAATGAAAACAAAATTAAGCAAACGAGCAAAAAAGAAATAACGCGGCGAAATTACCACCAAAATTGGTACCAAAGCCAATGATATTATTGTGTAATGGCCAGCGCAATACTAGGTGGCAGTGGTGGTGTTCAAATGAAAAAAATTTCAAAAACAAATTCCGGCTATACTGCTGCATATGAAAGCATATGGACTTTTTTTAGAGGCTTGGTATGTACATATGAATGCATGCATGTGCATATATAAATGTGGTAGTGTATAATCGAATAGCAATCGTCACGCATACACATAGGTGGACAAATGAAATAAAATTGGTAGCACAGGTTGGTAAGACAGTTGGTAGCATATAGTCGCATGCCGCAGCACACCGTGAGCAACCAGCAGTTATACTTACCGCACACATACAAACATATGCGCACGTACATACATAGATAAAAACGCTTAGCAAAGGGGCTCCTATGTATCAACGCGCCATCGTTCACTGCTGACGTTATTTTCTGTGCTCAGGCTGATGATTGTGGCAATTTCTTTTACCCTATACACCTGTATCTATCTATTTATATACAGTGTGTGTGTGTGTGTGTGTGTGTGTGTATACTTTTAATAGTGCCTTAGTATAAAGTTTTTTTTTTGTTTTTAGTTCTAAGGCAACTATGTGCCACTTTGTACCACCACATGCCACGCCAGCGGGTTTCATTTATTAATTTTTTTTCTTTCACGAATTCGATTGTAAAACGGAGGCCAGCAAACACACATACATATATATATATATATATATATATATATAAAATCTACCCCTAACCAATTCTGCTATATTGCACATTAGTGCATACGTATTAATACCGCTTGTCAGTATTCTTGTAAGTAGCGGCAAACATACTTTAAATATAAGGTACCAGTGACAGGTTCTGCCAGGGAGTTCTACCATTATTTAGTTCAGTCGAGCTGCCAAAGTTTTGTAATAGCAAATAAAATTCAAGTTAGTCACTCGTCGTCAAGGATACTGTGCGTTTCGTTTTCCTAGTGGTCGCGAGTTCTGTCCAAGTTGCCTTAGTTACATACCAAACGAACCGAACCAAAACTCTATAGCCTTTCCAAAACTTCTGAATATCATTTAAAAAGAGAGAATCAACACTACTCCACCTAGAAAAAGGAAAGCGAGTTTTGCTTTGTTTTTTTTTTCCTAACATAAAAACCATTCATTTAACATATACGCTTACAAAAATACGGCTGTTCCGAGAAATATTCAAATATTTGTTCGGTAAGAACCTTGCATAAGTAACATTAAAAGCAAACAGAGGTAGCCTACATTTAGTCATGTAGGTAAGAAGGTAGGCATAGGTCACAAGAATGGCAAGAAATTCTGCCCAAAACTTCTGACGCCAAACATCTAGATACGTGCGCTTATATGTAAATGCAATGCACTGACTGCGAATGGTAATGCTGAAGTCGTAACAGCAATTCAAATTCAAATTTTAGTCAAGTGTGAAAGCTCAAAGGATTGACATGCATTACCTTGCCAAGGATACGCACACAAGTGCCATTTAATTCAATTCAATTCAATTCAATTCAGTTCAATTCAGTTTAGTTAGAGATTGCAAATGTGTTGATTTATGTTTATCTTTATTCATTTTTCTTTTTTTTTTACATTTAATTTCAATTTTTGGTTTGTTTTTTTTTTTTTTTTTTTTGATTTGATTTTGTGTAAATATTCAGAAAAACTCTTCTCAAACGTAATATTGAATTTATTCGAAAGCAACTGCGCTGAAAAGAGAAACAGTGTAAGTCAATAATATAAAAAAAAAAAATAAATAAATAAAGAAAAAAAACGATAAAAAAAAAAAAAAAATTGTTTAATCATTTATTTATTTAAATCATTTGTCAAAGTTGTTTCTTGGCACTGGGAGAATTCACAGTCGATACATTAGAATTCTGTGGTTCTTTGGGTGCCAAAACTCAATACTGGCTTAAAAACAACTTCAAGCTTTCTTTGCCCAATTTTCCGTCCTTCTCTAGCAAGATTCATAAAACTTAAAAAAAAAAAAAAAAAAAATTGATCAAACAAAGAGAGATTTTCCTCATCTATTCGAGACAATTGGCAAAGTTTCAAAACAAAAAAACAAAAAAAAAAAAAACAATAATTTTTACAAGTGATCTGGCTACGAGCACCTAGATAATATGAAAGTAATCCGCCGGCTTCGTCATCCGTCCGTCACAAACGCACAAACGTTGATACTATTAAAAAGTTGTATCTCGCATATTATCTGAAATTTTATTAAAAATATTTTAAGCGATTTTCAGCCGTTCAACATAGCGAAAGCTTTTTCTCCTCTCCGTCTCCTCTTCGCATAACAATCCTTTTCTTTATAAATGAAAAAAACAAAAAAAAAAAAAAACGCGTGAATTAACAGCTTATCTGTTTCACATCACCATATATGACGATTTAGTCTGTCTGTTCTTAAGTTCTGCTCTTAAATGTTCCAAGTTCCAAGTCAAGCTTTTGCTTAGCATTTACAATAATATATGTAACACATATCACAACTGCTTTTAAATCATTTGCTGTATCTCCTTTCAAACTACGTATGCAAAGTTGTATAAGTTGCCTTTTTTGTATACATCCTGAGATATATATCCTATCGGGCGCTTCTAGTATGTAATTTTTTCTATCGTTACTTTCTTAATCAATTCTCTAAGTTTAAGGGGGGAGGGGTGGAAGGAAAAAAAACTATATGATAAGTAAAGGAAAACTCAAACATTAAATTAATGATCGGAAGCGTTGCAAGTTACGATTTGCCGGCAAAAAAAAAAAAAAAAAAAACATTGAAAAACACAAATATCGTTCGCTTCATTTAATTACGCCAATGTTCAATCCTTTAAGCCTTCAAGTTTGGAGAGAGATAGGTATAATCGTATTCATCAAATTAGGAAAAGTTTTCAACTTCCCGAAGACGACAGACATGATTTTAAAGAATCTCAAAATCCTTTGAAACCGAATAAGTTTAGGAGGCCGCTTTAAACTTAATCTCGCAAATGCCTTTGCAGAATATCGACACTTTCCTTCTTTGCTTTTTTTATTATAACTAATTATATGCTTACACTCCTATCAGCTTGCTTCCGCTTTCCTTCTAATCACTTACAATGAATTCATGTCCTTCGGTACATAAATGTACATCGTTTGGATTAATTAAAAAAAAAAAAAAAAAAAAAAAAAAAAAAAAAAAAAACCTAGAGCAGGCTGAACGCATTAGTTACAAAATCCCGGGTCTCAAAGTTTGTTCTCAGCCGAGTTAAGTAACGTGAAGCATAACGTGTCAACGGGGAAGTAAGCGTTATTATAAGACTGCAGAAGCATGCAGTCATTAAATTGCTCGACAATGGAATTGCGAAAAACCAGATGTTTCTTTGGTAAAATTCAAGTAGAAATGAGAAGGAAGAAAAATAAAAAGGAACAACGATAGCAAAAACGAAAATAAAAAAGTAACAAAAGTAACAATAATAACAAAAATGATAATGCTTCATATCCTTCATAGTGTCGCGGACGAGAGGCTTTTCATCATCATTTTCGCACAAAATTCCCATTGGCTTTCCTAATCGCTGCGCAATTCATTGAACTATTGCTTCCTTTTCCCAGTTCCGACTGCCTTTGCGTCTTTCTCATTCCCATTAGTAGATAATGTAGATAATGCAGATATCGAACATCCATTCTATCGAAACAAACATGTCTCCTATTCCTCCTCCAATTTTTATTTTAGTTAGCATAGAAACAAAGGGCAGGCGATTGCGTATTTTCGAGACTTCGCTTACATTACGTCATTAATGGAATTTCGGGACGAAAAACTGAAGCAAATAATTTCCGAAAGCATCGTCTGATGTCACCTTTACAATAGTAGGAAAGCTCTGCAAAGAGGGAAGCCAAAGTCCACATTGTACGCTATTTTCATTGTCTGTTATCAAGCTCTGCAAAAATGAATCGATTTCGATTCACGGATTCATGCATTGGAGATTCGGTCCATTACCGAACGTCATATCCATGTATTCTGCTCCTTTTTTATTCTAGTTTATGGGCAGTGTTGTTTAGTTCTGCAACGACATGAAATACGCTAATGTTTCTAAGGCCCGATGCATCTAATGCGAAAAACGAGTGAAGCCTTTGTGTCCCACTAATTTTAAAAAATCGTCTTCCCAATACACACCGTGAACCTTCTCATAACGCCGCGAATCGTTCGCTTCTTACTCGAGGCGTTATTGAAATGAGTAAAAAACTTATTGTGACCGAATCTTTTACGCCCTTCACGACCGTTATCCTATAAAGAGGAAACATATAAATATGCATATTTTATTATAGTCGGTGGGCGTGGCTGATTTTTGATTTTTGATTTTCTTGTAAAATAATTTTTTCGAAAATGTATGTCGTGTATCTGTTGCAGTTGTTGTGAGCGGCGAGCAAAAGACACGGAAAGCAAAGATGATCTCATTTTTCGTTCTATAAAGGTGTGATCTTTGACCTGCTTACGCTGTTTTCAAAAAAAAACTTTTTTGCACATCCATAGGCGATATGTTCTTTTTTTTTGCGAACGGGAGAATGCGTAACACAGATACTATACAATTTAGCAGACGGATAGACCGACAGACTGACGCTTTTATATGCATTCTAAACTTCATTGAACCTTGTTCCTGCGCGTTATAAAAAAAAGTTTTCGAAAAAAAATTCAATTTTGATACGCTATAATATCGGATAGGCGTGATCAATTTTTTCCATTTTTACACAGATACTAGAGCATCCCATTCATAGAATGAATAAACGTTCAAATTTTTGTGGATTTATCTGCTGCAGTTAATCAGTAATGAGTTTTTAAAAACAGAATTATGTAGAATTGCGTATGAGCGTGTCGTTCAACGCCGATTTGGTCCATTTTCAATAACAACCTGCGTGAAAGAGCTTCCAATTCGATTTGAAGTCGATAGTTTAATTTTTGCGATCAGCAAAGTGTTCACAAACACACGTTAGATAGACGGACAGACAGATATGCTTAAATCGATGCAAAATTTGATATGTCGTCCGAGAATATGCACACTTTGTGGGATCTCTGAAGCTTCCTCCTTCTGGGCGTTGCAAACGTTTGACACGAAATGCGTATACGCCTCACCCTTCTACGATGATTATTTTGATTCATTTTCTCACAACGCAATTACTTACCACTGAATCCACAAATCTCGTAATCTTTTCCTGAATTATTTACGAATTGATTCTTAGCTTAATAGGATTGGTATTACGAAAGTTGCGTGAATCCGTTGAGAAAATAAAAGCGTACCACACAAACGTTCTATATGCAGTCTAGTAGTCCAATACCATAATTCCGTTTGGCGATTGTAAGCGGGATTGTAAAGTAAAACTTTTTTTTATGCGGTAACTTTACCGACTTTTCGTCCGTTCACCCGTTTCACGTTTCTAAAAACAATTTTTTAACAAATTAAGTTAAAAATAAATTCAAAACACATTCAATTCACATTTTCTGTCAAGTCAAGAAATATCGACATATAACGACGATGACCAAAAATTCATGATATTTTGAATTAGTTTATTGATCAATGTTTGTTGGGAGATCATAAACGAATGCTACTTAGGATTGATTGAATCCATGATTCGATAGGTATCTAAAGTGACCGAATAATATCTTGGAGAAGAAAAGCATTCATTACAAATTTTTTTAGATTATTTTCGCTTAAAGCGACACATGTCGCACGTGCCTTTCGGGAAATGAAAATGGGTAGATCGAAAATATATCTGTAATTCTAAAAAATATATATACATTAATTTGACATAAGTCCTTGATAATGATTAACAAATACTTTTTTCTCGTCTGCGGATGTAATTTTCGCTCTTCAAGAACACTCTACGCAAACATTGTTTGACATTTGTCCCAGTAGTAATAGTAATAGGAGTAGTAGTAGTAGTAGTAGTAGTAGTAGTAGTAGTAGTAGTAGTGGTAGTAGTAAAAAGCGCAATGACATCTTGTGGGACGTCAGAAGATCCGTGAAACAGGCTAGCCTCGCTAATCCGTTAGTGAAAAACTAATTTAGTCTTGTCTTTGAATATAAAAATAATTTTTTTTTTTTATATATATAATAAATCTTAAATCACTTTTTATATATATGTGAACGATTGTACATTGGTTAGTCTATGTCTGCGTGTGGCTTATTTCATTTATTAGAATCAAAATACACATATATATGTATATGTATATACGTACTTATAATTATCTCGATTGGAAACATTTTCTGTTTATACACATTCTTACATGCGAATATAACATGCATTCGTAAGTAAAAAAAAAAAAAAGATTCAGTTAATAGTTTTAGTAGTCAACACGCAACCACATCATTAGAATTAGTCATAAATGACTAACACACACACACACATATATATATATATATATATATATATAAATGCAGATAAGTAGATGAATTAAGTGCCTACGTGTATGCGTGTATATATAAATGCATGGCAATTCCATATTGTTAATGCATATGTGATTTATCGATATCGGCATAAATTGCTATATATTTTTTTTTAAGCATGTGTGCATTCTTCACGGGGTACAATGAAAAATGATTACGCAAACCGTAAAACGAAAGGAAGGAAAATCAGCCTTAAAGGATTTTTCCTTTCCACATACACATGTTTCAGTTATCACAATTCATTGGAGAGAAGTTTACAGCTTAACAAGATAATCTAAGAAAAATGATTTTTTTTTTTTTATCATAACACTTTATATTGTGGCGCTACATTTTATATATATGAACGTATTATATGTAGAGATGTGTTTCGCTTCAGCATACATAAACAGCCGTGCTATACCAATATTTATACATATATATGCATGCATGCATGCAAGCAATGCATATACTTATGTAGCGGTATATGTATTATTATATAATTACGTGCTTTCTTCTTTTGCATGAATATAGCTTAGAGGATATATATTACCTTTATTCATATAAAGAATTGTATATAATTTTTGCATAACATACATACGCATAGTGAAGTTGTGATATTGCCCAATTCTTTGTTGTTGTTATATAATACAATGTATTCTTTTACTAAGGTAGACGTGTAAAAACGAAATACCTTGAAAACGTTATCTAACGGGGAAAGGACTACGTTCGCTACATTCATTTACTGTTACTATGCACATATTTATATGTCCGTACGAGTGATTGTGTTTTTGTATGCAAGAGGGGCAATTTATTTTATCGCTTACAACGAATCTAAATTGATCGTTATGAATAAAAAAGTACATCGCCAATGCGGCGTCGGTGTTATGCAGCAAAACAAAAATGCACAAAATTAACAAAGAAAAAAAAAAAAAAAAAAAAATTTAAATAACTTGACATCACGATAGAATGTATACTGAAGAGAAAAGAGAAATGCGGAAAAAAAATGCCAAGCGCATGTATGTGTCCGTATTTGTCAGAAGGTATTGTAAAGTTCAACAAATTGTGTTTAGACTTATACACAATATACAAACACTTAACAAAATATGTGAGAAGAAATGGTAAGGAATGCAATCTGGGACGAATGAATGTACTTCAATTACCTCAAGTGAATATGTAGAAATTGCAAAGTATTTTAATAATATTGCACATCTCAGATCTCAGGCTAATCGGGATCAATTATATACTTATCAATTACATGATCCCCATATGGCATTTGTACAATGTCTCCGATCAATATAGGTTTGGTTATAGTACGATTATGGTGCCTTTTAACGGCCGATTAGATCCATTTTCCTTCTGAACTTTCAAATATTATTATACCCATCACCCGAAGGATGTTAGATATATATTCATATTGTCAAAGCGCTTGCAATGCCCAAAAGGAAGCATCATCGACCCCATCTTGATTAGCGGCAAATTCTATTTCGATTTAAGCATGTCCATCTGGCCCGTCTGTGCGTCTGTCCGTCTGTTGTAAACATTCTCCTATCCGCAAAAATGAAGCTTTCGACTTCACCTTTGGCAGGAGCATTCGTAGTTCTTGCATGCAGGTGCTTATTGAAAATGGGCCCAATCGGTCCATCGGTAAAATCCACTCACCGCACCACGTAAACTGACCTCCTCACCACTGTTTTTCAAATGGAACGAAAAATTGCTTTTTTGCTCATCATTACTCATAAACTATAGCGAATAAGTGTACAAAAATTTGAACGCATATTCTATGGGCGAGGCCGGAATGGGAAAAATTGACATCATGTGGACATTTCTACTCGACACTTGAAATAGCTGTACAGAAGCTGTGTGCTGAGGAAATCTAATTTTTACAGATTTTGAAAGTCAAACCTGGCCGAATAGTTTTTTCTATTTTTTGTTTATTAATGCAAATCATAAAATTAATATCGAGAATAAAGTCTCAAAATTGACTTGGCAGTTACGCTGGCAACACAGAAGAAGGTCTGAGCGAGCGGACAATGAAACTGAACAATTAATTGATTGAAGTCTTATGAAAACGTATCTAAATATTTTGTCGATTGGCAGTGGGGAAGTTTGCTTAAACATAGGTGCTTAGCAATGGTAAATGGCGATGAAATACGTGACAGTCGTATTTTCGGTAGATTTCGTATCTTTGGTTTGCATATGATAAAAAAGAAAAACCCAACCAAATTTCATAAGTCAATTGATAGCCGTGCGCATGCGCCATCGATTTATGCGAGCGTAAATATAAGAAACTGGGTAAGGTATATAAGCACTTCTGTTAAAGAATATAATCCGCATTATGTTGCGGGTTGATTTAACCATGCATCCATCGGCCTGGCCTCTCTTAGTTATTTCCTCTTGTTTTTATTTTTTTTTTCTTTTAAATGAATAAAGCGAAAGTCAAATATTTAAATGAGCGTAATTTACTCGCAATTACTTTGCCATACACAAAAGATGGTCTCTTCAACGTCGACTAAACTAAATGCAATCAAGTAAGAAAATTGAATTCGGTCGGAAGCGACGTGAGTAACAGATAAAGTACATGCAACATCTATGGGTGTTACTTATAAAGGCACAATATCAGTCAGAAATTTATATCAAACATGTGCTCAATGCTGTAAACATATCCTTGGTTGAGTTAAGGTGTTGAACAGCCTTAATTGTCTTTGTGATTTCACCGAGTTATAAACTTAATATCACTCGGAACTAGCATGGATCCTAGAAGCTAGAATAACATAAAATATTAATAGTTATAGTTTCTCGGGAATATGTGACCTATAAATAAAATTTGTTAAGATTGAAAATAGACTGAAATAATCAAAGCAATGAGAAGAAGTTAGCACGATTCAATTAAAAACTCTTCTTAGAGGCATTCTCGATTTAAGCACAAGTATCGCATGCCTATCTCAAAGGTTTCGAACGTCAATTTCGTGTATTTATGTTATGTTCCGTTATATGTGCAGCTGTGGTGGAGTTTGTTGAAAAATTCAGTCTCCTCAGGTTAATGGCAAAGATCTCCGATCCGTTTTTTCTTCGAGATATATATTTTCCTTTATCAGTTTAAAATTTGCCTAATTTAAGATTTCTAATCACTCCCATCGTTTATTAATCAATCGCTTTCCTTTCTTTCAGTTTTACGGAATTTCAAGATGGCACCGCAACAGAATTCAACGTTGATTGATGAAAACACCAGTCTAGGTCAATCAGTGAACGAGCTACCAGAAGAAATTAAACATTACAGTCCAATATTGCCGTTAAAAACTAAACCAATTGATAATAATAAAGAAAATTTTCGATGCAAAAGAGCTGACACCGTTGACGCTAAGGAAGAACAATACTTGAATCAACTTAAATATAAAGATAATCATAATAAAAATAATAATCGACGTAGCGAACGTAGTTGTCGCAGTCGTTCCATTTCATTGTGCGGTGTTAATAGTACAGTGGCTTATGTAAGCAATTAACCGCCATCCGACTAATTAATCTTTTATTCTTCACCTAGCCGCGCATAACGTGTATACACATTAATTCATATCTTTTTTTCGATCTGTATACACGTCATGTGAACAAAAATCAAAATTTCGGGTAAACCGCCTTATTTTGAAAAACATCACAAACTTTTCTTTAGTATATTTCGTTTATGAATTTTATGAATCTTCTTATTTTTAAAAAATTTTTTATAATTTTTTTTGAATAAGAAAAAGAAGAATACTTTATTTTAACACGAAAAGTCGAAAATGTTTTTTTTACTCTGATTTTTTTTTGTAAAATTAATTGTGCAACCGTTTGTATTGTGTTCGAGCCGCTAACTATTTAAATATATATATATATATATTTATATATATATATATATGTATATTTATATATGTATTTATTTTATATATACATATAAATACATTTATATATGTATATATTAATCTCTTTTTATGTCAGGAACAGGGATATAAAGAAATCACGATATGGTTGGGAAATGAGGTGCGCTATGTATCGGGAGTTACTAACAAAACTACATGCAATGACATAATCAAAGCCATGATTGATGATGAACTTAGCAACGGCAATAGTGAACTTTACCGCTGCGTACAAAAAGGTGAATTTCACAAACATCGAAAAACGACATAACTTTAAATAAAGCATATTCGCCACTTGGGCACTTACGCACTCACTTACCTATGCGACTGCCTGCATTATGCCTAATTTTTATTCATTCGCTTTCTCTTTCTCTCTTTCTCTCTCTCTCTCTCTCTCTCTATCTCTTTTCTCAGTTACTTTCCTCTTCCTACTTAGTTTTTTGCTGGGCTTTATTTGAAATTTCTTTGTTTTTTTTTTATTGACTGAATTTTTCCATGATGACTGATACTTCCGGTGCCTGTTAATGGCTTATGGTATACATATAAACTCCTACATAATATATACATATATGCTTGTGTACGAATTGCATACATATGGCACCGTTTCTAACAAACACTTTAGACGGAACAGCATCGCGTGACTACAGCGGATATGTTATAACAGAATGTTGGCGTGGTATCGAGCGCAGCTACGACGGCAACGTCGCAATTTTACCAATTTGGAAGGCCTGGAATCGAGCACACAATGAGGTAATATCGAATAATTTGCACTTTTATACATGCATGCATATATCATGGACACACACATGGCATTAGAGTGATCCAAAATTAGTCAATTTAATGCGTTTACATAACGTAACACACACACAGACCTATTTATACGTGCATGTATGTGTCCGTCACTCTTTTTCTCTGCGTGTGGGTGTGTGCTTGTGCATATATTAAGGACATTAGCCCCTGCAGATAGATCAAGCATTCCATGAATACTAAAAGAGAAAAGCAATTGCCATAAGAAAGTAACAAGAGTTTATCTGAATTGCATAACCGTAATGTCAGCATTAGAAGCAACTTAGCATTTGGCAAATAACTTAAATTCGACCTCTTTAAATATAACTTATTCGAAGCAAAAATATAGCACAAGACTTTGTATTAAATATTTTTTGATGTTAATGCGAGAAGTCATAACATAGCTCGACGGATCAACATAAAAACTCTATTTCAAATTCAATACGTCATTCGATTCGTAACAGAAATTTCAAGCACACAAGGTTTCTATAGAGACGCGTCTGATTTTCGTCAATTACTTTTAATGCTTTGGAAAATTCTCATTGTTTTTAAACGGTTAAATGTATGTATGTACCTCTGGAACTTAAGCTTTGAGGGAAACGTGTGCTCACTTACACTTTACAAGAGTCCCCTTATTATTCATCTACATCGCTACACAGATATAGTCTGAAAATATATGATTTTTATATTTTATTCTAATTGAAAAAAACATTGTCGCCATATGTGAGGGAGCCGCACTTGATCATGTCATAGGCTCGAAAACTCATACATAGCTTGTGACATCATGAAAGTAGTTGCTATTCCACTGTGTTGGCTATCTTCGACTTGTCGCACTTCATTTTACCTAAATGCAGTATTTTGCTGCATAAAGACGGCTCTTGAAAAGCGGTCGTTGCGGAGAACTGATCCCAAAAACTATTAGAACGAAATTCATCTTCGAAAGAAATATAACCATGAGGCACACCATTCACAAAAGGAAGAATTCATAAAAAGAAGAATGTATTTAGCTTAACGAGTATCCCGGGATGTATGCTATTTTATATATAAAAATATTTATCTATTAGTTGCACTGCATTATGGCTTCACCTAAACTGCTGCTTCCAATCAAATTGGGAGTGCCCAAGCATTTTTGGATATTAAAATCGATTTTCTTGATTATTTCACTTTCAGATACGTTTAAGCCTTAAATGTCATAAAGATGTTAACGATCCTGCAAAGCCAATTAAAACCAATAGTACACTGTCGTCGTTGCGTAAATATTTTTGTAAATTATTAAATTTTCGATTGCTTGGAAAAGACCAGCCGACCAAGTCAACAAAATCACTTAAAAACCATGAGGTGAAAACAACCATTCTGCCAACCAGTCATCTTTCTCCTGACGCGAAGGATAAGCTTGATAAAGAGAAACTATATAGACTTTGCGAAACGCGTTCGACAGTCCGGAAACGTCGTAAATCTCCTCGTAAACGAAAAATTCATAAAAGGTCAAATGTTATCAAACGACATGACAAAGACCATGATATAGGCAATTATTTACGGCGACGTAAAGGTTTAACTGCTCGCAGCTCGATACGTAGTAAGTTAGCGGAAAAAAATGCCGAAATGAACGAACTCTACGCACGTGAATACACGTTAACAAGGCAACTGACCAAAAAATGTAAACTGTATAGACTTCAGAATGAACTCTACACTAAAACCGATAAGAATTTCGAAATGTCTGTCGGTCAGATACAGCATAACATAGAAAATTGTGCACAAGAAATCTTAAAAACCGAACATGAACTCCTGCATGTCAAGAACGAGATCAAACAAGACATATCTATCATAAACAGTTTGAAACGGTTAGCACTTGAAACGAATAGTCCCGAGCGCCGAATGCCAATAGCACTGCGCGAAGTTTTAAGGCATTCATCGCCTGAACCAGCAGCAGCAATTCCAATTCCCATAAAGCCAACAAGCGAACGTATACAATTCGTCGATAATATACATGAATTTTGTGACAATAATGCCAGTTTATTAGTTTAAAAAATAAATCAAAACATCAAATATACAAATGAATAATTAAAACCCATAGTCATGTTAATAAACAGATGATGCAACGGAAAAAGAATTATTTACATGCACATGGAACAATTTTTACTCTGGAAAAGATTTCAATATCGCAGACTATGAAATTTCAATTAATTACGTAAGTAGAAACTTACGATACCTGCAAATGTTGCATACAGTTCGCATAACACTAATCACCTATATTTCGAGCACATTCTAAGAGGTTCTGAAGTTACTTTACTGCTCTAAATGATAATCTCTGATTCATCGAATAAATTCGCCAAAAATAGAGCTAGTCCATTGTCCAAGCATTAAAATGTATTTTATTATTTTGTACTTCATATTAAAATATTAAAAAAAAATTGAAGCATTATTTCAGTGTCTATAGGAAAATTAAATAATTTCAAAATCCGCCTGAGTGGCCGAGTAGGCAAGAGTCTCGACTAGCAACTCAATAGTCGTGGGTTCAAACCTCAAGTGCGGTAGAGTTTTCTAATAACAGCCGATAGCCCTAGATGCTAGTGCTTTAAGACTTTAGTCTTAGAATTTATTCTCTGGCTAAATTTATAATAATAATAATAATAATAAATAATTTCAAGGGCTCACAAAACTTAGCGTCATTAATATTGGGGTTTTTTCATATAAGGAAGCATACGAAGACAAAAAAAAGGAGATTATTGAAATCTAATATTTTTACTTAATAGCATTGCTTTGTGGTCGCCGTTTTGCAGTTGCAGTTTTGGAAGTAGGGGTAGAGCAATAGATGTTCAGATTAGATGTGCGCCTGACCTGCCGAAAGCAAATGCGACCGCGGGGTGGCAGAGAGAGACGTCGTTAAATAACTCTCCTTGTTTAGAATCCCATCCATGAACACCAGTTTCCGACTCCGTTGTTTTCAAGGTATATCAACGCTTTTACATGACCATTGCCATGCTCACCGTAGGTCGTAACTTGAAATAAAGTGTCGACAAACTTGGTATTTTGGAAACATTTACATTCTACCAAGATAACGACCTCAAATATAAATCCCGCTTAATTCAAAAATGGCTTCACCCTCTTCCACAAACACCACTCCAAAACACTCAATCTCTGAATGAAGTAAATCCCTGTTTCCTTTCCAAGAGAAAACATACAAAACATGTCAAAACGTTTAAATGATGGTATTAAGTCAAATTTATTTTTAATAATTTGATGTTTTTTCTTGTCCGTATCGCTCCTTTTATAAAAAAAAAAAAAAAAAAAAAAAAAAAAAAGAGACATTCTGCGTATATAATATATTGCAGTTTTATTATTATATTAGATTTACTGGCAATTTAGTTAATCCCCATTTTATTTTGAGATACCTATATTGGTAGTTGTTGTAGTAAATTAAATTTTTTTTTCAAGGTAAATAGCATTTTTCTTAGATTACTTTTGCTTGTTTCTTTTGAAATCAACGAAATCATATGTTTTGCGAAAGTGAAGCCAAGTTAGAAATGTTAATTTTTTATGAATTCTACATCGTTTATATCAAATTCTTTGGTAAAATTCTATTGTTTAGAAAAATACGTTTATTAAATTTAAAACACGCAAGGCTTTGACACTATATTTATTCACATTCATTGGTTTTATTAGTACTTTAATTGCGTCAGAGTTCATTCTAAATTGTAGCGATTTTTGTTGTGATTGTGAAAATAGTTCCTTCGCTTTAATTTGATTTTCCAATGCATTCTGCACTCTGCTTGCTAAAAGTTGAGCAGGGTTGGTAATGAAATGAAACAAAATCAGGCTTTACAAAACTTCAAAAGATCGTTTCGTCTACCGATTACTAAAAACGAAACGAAGAGAAAAACAAATCTTTGCTCACAAAGTACTCATTCATAAATTGATTTGAAGCACGAAATTGAAAAAATAGTATAATTTCGGAGGAGACTATTATTAATATTTAATAAATATAATTATATTGTGTAACAATTCCTTTATTGACGGTAAAATAAAAGTTAAAATTCAAAATATGATTTTATAGCGTATGCTTTTAACAGATATCAATTGCGTCGATTCCATTAATATAAATATTGCTCTGACGGACTTAAGCACCTTTTCACTTCAACACGCCGAATCATATGTTGATACCTTTCTGAGTATATTTTAAGAAGAGGAAGAACCTGAAGTGATTTTAGAATTTTTTCCGTAAAAACAGATAATTTGTCGGCATAGAGTTAGTATCCGCTTTTGCTTTAGGTTTTGCGGTTTAAATTGTAAAGCAATGGAGGTAAGTGTTTGAAGTTATTAATGATTGCAACTTTGGACTTGAATGAAATTGTTTTTGTTACATGTACAGATTGAAATATTAAATGCAAAAAATTCTAAATCCTATGGTAAATGTCGCGTGCCTAAAGATATCGTTATTGGCGATTTACGTGCATTAATCTATCAAAAATTAAAGAGTGCTCCGGTGGCTGATAGGCAGTCACTGCGTTTGGAACCGCGGGGTAAAGCTTTGAAAGATACCGACTCGCTGCAAGCGTTAAAGCTCATAGATGGCGATAAATTATACATTAAAGATTTGGGTCCCCAAATAGGATGGAAGACAGTTTTCTTGGCAGAATACGCCGGGCCTTTAGTGGTATACCTGCTGTTTTATACTCGGCCAGAATTGATGTATGGCAATGCGGCCGACACAAAAATTTCTTTAACCGCGCAGTAAGTTAAAATATGGAAATAGGAAAGTCTATAAATTACATGCTTTTTAGAGGAATGAAGTAACAAACGAAAGCAATTGTAGTGACCCAATTTGACCTTTTCGTTAATTTTAATGTTGTCAAGGCATAAAATTTGTTTCACTCAACTTTATTCTTCTTCTTTGATTTAATTACCAAAAAAAGAAACGTTGATTTGTATGGTGCATATATTTATGTATATTACGATTTTTAGTATAGCGGCAATTTGTTACACTGTACACTATGTGAAGCGTTTGCTGGAAACTATTTTTGTTCATCGGTTTTCACATGCCACAATGCCATTACGTAATTTATTTAAGAATTGCTCATATTATTGGGGCTTCACCGCTTATGTATCGTATCATGTTAATCATCCCTTGTTTACTGCACCGAGCCCACTACAAGTTTGGACAGCTCTGGGTGCATTTGCCGTAAGTATTTTATGCCCTTATTGTAAAATCATATATAAGCTATAAGTTAATAATATATAATATTTATAACACTTTGCAGTTTTGCGAATTTGGTAACTTTTCGGTGCACATTGCATTGCGTAATTTGAGGCCGCCTGGTACTAAAGTTCGTAAAATACCCAAACCCGATAGCAATCCTCTAACAAATCTGTTCAAGTAAGTTTAAAAATGAACACCTAAACATGTTTCTAGATTTACAATATCTGTAATCGTAGCTTGGTATCTTGTCCGAACTATACATATGAGATAGGAGCTTGGATTTCATTTTCTATAATGACTTCGTGTTTGCCAGCTCTGATGTTTGCCTTAGCAGGAGCTTTTCAAATGACAGTTTGGGCCTTAGCCAAACATCGCAATTATCGTAAAGAGTTTAAGGACTATCCTAGGAACCGTCGAGCCATCTTCCCATTTATAATCTAAACATGCACAATACGCATTTTATTAAACATTTCCAGTGGTTTTTATAACATTAGCTTTTACAACATATTATAATAGTCATTTAAAAGGTGTTATGTAAGAATTTCAACTTTATACTATTTCTAAATTAACTTAATGACTGCACTTTTAACGTACTCCAATGAGCAAGCACATAAATGTGAAGGTGCGTTAGTAATAAAATGGAAGTAATCGGTTTTTATAGCATTTCGTTGGTGTTTCGATCTGATATTATTGCTTTTTTGAGAAATTTACAGAAGCTTATATAACTTTAATCCTAGTCGGTTGGCAATTGTATCTTCAATTTAATTGCCACAACAGATCGCTTGCTTGCGAACATTTTTGACCTGCAGTTTGTTGCACTATTGGTTACAGTATGTCGTGACGTAACGTAACGTGAAGATAGAAAAAATCATTTCAATTTGAGCCGGTGATGGTATTGGGGCAACTGTGATAAGCTTGGTATTTAATGACGTCCCTGATTTTGTGAATGTATTAAATGATAATCATGCATGCTTATGAAAAATTTTAAAAAGAAGAAGAGCACAAACTAATTTCACTGGCGTTTCTCTATTCTCTTTAGTATAAGTTGAATCTAGCCATGCACTTCGAAGAATTAGAAGCTTTAAACCCACGTAATCCTAGTGTGGGTCTAATAGATGCGCCAACTCCACATAAGGTGGCCGTGTTGGTCTTGGTAGACCAATACATAAGGGTAACTGGTAATTTCCTTCATTATTGAGCAATAACAGCAGTATGAGTTTGCTTTGTTAATTGAACCGCTAGGCGAAAAAAGCTGCTGCGGACGCCGGTCTTGAATATCCTGCCCACCTGAGACGTAATTTCTGCATGTTGTTGCTTAAACTGATACAATATCCTGACATGACATTCAGCGATTTGTATCAGCTACTATGTTCATCTAAATATAAGATAGACGATTACCATTTAGAGTGCTTTGAAAAGGTTATTGGCAACGTTTTCTCGATGGGCCTTGAGACACTTTTTGATTTTTGCGAAATGCAAAATATTGAAAAAATGTTAGCGGAACAAGTGGGAGTTAGCCAGTTCAGTATTGTAGGTTTGTATATACGTCGAGTAGGTGTGGTCCTAGAACGTTTGTCATTTCCCGAAATGGTGGCATTACACAAAAATATTTGTTTATATTATGAAAAAGGTAAAATCAAATTTTTCTTCTGAATACCTCCTAACAGCAATAATAGAAATGAATGGCTCTACAGGTTTACGTTCATTGACTACTAGTTCCCGTAAGCACAATCGCCTGGAAAGTTTATTAATAGACGAATCAGATAACGATACGACCGAGGAACCCGTATTGGATACTGAAACCGTTCACATGGATCGCAATCAACACTGTAAATGGTCTGCGAAACAAGTTGAACTTTTTGTTAATCAGCAATGTAATCTTTTGGAGAACAACGAATTAAGAGCTTTGACGCCTATTGAAATGCAATCCAAACTAAATGAGATAATACGGGATAATCCTTTAAGTGCGCAAGCCTATTTCCTTGGCTACATGAATCAACTTAGATTGCGCGATGTATTCGGCGCCTTAAACGCATTGCATAGAGCTTTTGATCGGAGTCCCATGCAAATAATGGGACAATCAGAACAGAAGGGCTTTCAATACTTCAGCGTTAACTTAGCTGTTTTGCATGCCAGTTTTGAACATCGTCGTGAAGCATTGAATGCCTTAAAGGAGTGTATAATGTTAGCTCAAGAGTGTGGCGATAAACGTTGTTTAGATTTGGCCAATTCGTGGTATTGTCTGTTGAAGAGCAAGCATATCGATCCCTTTGAAAAGTGCATCCCGGATGTGGAGGATATCGGAATGATACAATCTTTATCCCTAGCTATACAATTTGTGGTTATGTTTGGGGCTCAATGCGGTTACTTACCTTTGGATTTGTTTCAAATGCTTCTGAAAAGTGACGAAGTCAATAGTAAAAATTCCAGACCTCAACATGTATCTGATTCTTTGGCATTACGTTCTGCTCTTTGGTGCACATATGGCCGCCATGAGATGTCAGCACTCTATTCACAATTATTACTTAATCTAAAGAAAACCTGGGTCTTTGGTGATGTTAGTAATTCAGAAAGTGTTTGTAAAGTTCTTTCTAGTCTTGCACTATGGTTTAATGTCCAGGGTGAACATCAGTTAGGAGTCGTGTTGCTGATGCATGCACGTTCCAGATTTCCACGTTATCCTAATGCCATCAATTGGATGATTAGCGAATGCCATGTGTCCATACAACAAGCCATTTACCGTTGCCAATGGCAAGAAGCATCAAAGTGGTGTTGTCAGTTGTATCTGCTTGATAGAAATGATGGCACTTTGCAAAGAGCAATGGTATACATAGCTAAGGGCTACTACAATGAAGCTCGACACATCTTACTGGAATTACAAAATTCTGCTGCTCTTGATGTTTTAAGTCAAGTTCGTGTCTTAGTTTTGATGGCTTATACCAATATGTCCTCGTCTATCACATCAACTCAAGCTATAGAACATTTAATGCGTGCTTCTGTGCTCTCTGCTTCGGCTTATATGGAATATGAAAATGCCTTGATCGGTGTTCTACTGGCTGAAGTTATGCTCAGAATGGGTTTACCGCAAAAAGCATTGCAATCGATGAAAAATTCTATGGATCATATTTATATAAATGGTGGATTGTATGATAGAGCAAACACCGATTTTACTTTTGTGCGCTGTTTAGTAAAAGCAGGCCATGATCGAAATATTCAACAACAACGACTACGAAAAGCTTTGCCAATTTTGGAACGTGCCATTGACAGCTATCGGAAACTTGAAGCCCATGCCAAAGTTTTAGACATTTTTGTTTATATAGCGAAGACATTCGATGAACTGGGTATATTATCCGAGCGCAATAAATACGCCTGTAAATTTAAAAACTATTACACGGAAAACCCGGTACCCAGAGAATATCTAAATGCCATATATTAAAGATAAAATTCTTAATCAAAACAAGAGATTATTTGCGTTAAATTTGTTTGGTTCTAGAATTAAAGAAAGTTTATTCTAATTTCTTTCGTTTTGCTAAAGGTGACTTATTAAAAACTTGCTTCATAAAATTGGTGAATGGAATTTTGTCGCGTCTTGACTAACAAATGCGTATATTTTATACGACCACATCTACCGATATATTTTACATGAACCACTTTCGATAATATTTGTCTTGTCACAATGATCTTCCAGCGTCACTGGCCTAACTAAAGTCACGCTTCTAGAAAATAGAATAAAAAAATAAGCGATAGTTTATATAATGGAGTAAAACCAATTTTCGAGAAAATACTATATTCTATTCCGATTTGATCCTCTTCTAAAGCTTGTAAAGCTTCTTTCTAGAGTAAATTCTTGTCAATGTATAAAGAGATTCAAAATTGTCTCATAAATTAAACTATATACGGATAAACACTTGTACGATGTTTAAATACGATTGTTCAGAGGTACTTGATGCGAGATATGAGGTCGTTTTTTTAGTAAATTAAATATTGAATACATTTAGGTATTTCGCCGTATTCATTTAATTTCTTCGCAATGATGAACGAGATGGATGAAAAAAAAAAATAGCGACAGAAGGTGTTTGCGATTCATAATTGTAATTTAATCTGGTACATAGATAGGCGACTCCACCATTTAGCTGATCAAGTAGATGCCATCTGATAATTTCTGTGCAGTACGTAAATTCGATGATCTTGCTATGGGCATACTTTTCTCTTTCTTCGCGAGCGCGTTTCATTCGCGATTTTGTTCTCGCAGTTTCCAAGCTTCCTATTCATCGGTACACACGTCACCTATACTAGGCTTGGCAGTGTCAGGCTAAAACAATTATTTAAAACATTTCCCTTTTTATTCTGTATATTTTCCCTTTGTCTATATTAAAAACTATTCGGAATCCTTCGACCTCGAGATGGAGCACCATCAACAAATTTAGGAACATCATTACAACATGCGGCGATTTGGGTATCAAGTCATATCGGTTTATTTGGGAAATGACCAAGCTGATCGAGCGGCGAAGTATGCTGCTTCTGCACCTCTAATTAGAAGAGAAAATTATGCCAAAAAATCTACACTAGTATCATCAGCAAGCACTACTCTTCTATTAAACCTCGATTAATTCTCCACCTTTATATCGAACAAAACTTCTTCCCCAATTAGCAATTGAGGACAAATTCTCATTATAAAGTACATTCTTTGTGACTGCTTTAACTTTTCCTTTGCTACAAGTATTGCATTTGGAACAACCAATCCTATGGACATCCTAACATCAGCTACAGAACGCAATGTCAATACAGTATTTTAATTTATTAAAACTATTAGGCTTAATATCTAATGCCCTTTTCTAAAATGGAGCCGGTAGCCTATGTTCTGCTATGTTGATAGTGTTTTACGTCATTCCTTTTAGTCTAAGAATTTATTTTGTTAGTCTGGTTGCCAATGGTCGTGGGTTCAAACCTCAAGTGCGGTAGAGATTTTAATAAAAGCCGAAAGCCTGCTAGTGCTTTAAAACTTTACTCTTAGACTTTATTCTCTGGCTAAATTTATAATAATGACAATAATAATAATAATAATAATAATATAAAAATACTTTTGCTTTTTCCGAATCTATTTTAATGCTTTGTTCTACTATATGTCGTAGGCAATGTTGGTCTAGGTTTTTTTTTAGTCACGCCCTTCGTTTCCACCTCTAATTGCCACTGTCTCGACGTTCCGCATTCTTTTTTTTGTATAGTTGCGCGTTCCCTTTTGTGCACAAATAAAGTCTTCAAACGTGGCTGATTATCTTTTTCAATTTGTTTTGGCTTTCATATTTTGAACTCTACGTATCCGATGGTTCCAAAGGTTTTTCTTCTTCTTGTGGTAAAATTTCTTCCTCTTCTTGTTACTGCAGCATTTTTGTGTGGCTCTCTCCACATTTTGCTCTTGTCGCTGCTGTTCGTCATCTTCTTTGTTATCTTCGTTACTATCTGTTTGCAAAAGCTCTGACTCGTGTATGAGCCGATGATGTTCTAGATGCTTTCCTTCTAATATGTCATTTTCTGAAGGTCATGCTCTTGACCGACGTAAGCGTGGATCGTTAATTTCTTCCGCGACCTTATCCTGCTCCGATGTTTGTTTTTTTGAATTTCTGTCATGTTTACTATGAGGTTTACCGTGTTGACTAGTTGTAGTCAATAGTCGACTGTCTAGAAAGGCGTCTAAATCGCTTACTTCGGAGCGGGAATAATCTTTGGCATAATCTGGCCTTCTACTTGATGTATATATAACCTTAACTTTTATCTTGTCCATAGAAATTCTGCCTTAAGAAAATAAAAATGCTTTAGACAATTTTTCTTATGATATCTTAATCGTTCAATTGCCTGTTTCGTTGCGTACTGCCATGCTCTATATACCCATTGTTCCTTATAAGGATAATTCATATAGTGACAAAAACAAAAAGCTTTGACAAGCAACAAAACAAAGTTTACTCAGAGAACAATAACTACTAGAAAAAAGAAGAAAAGTAACACAACAGGATAAATTAAACAGTCGCACTTCTTTCTATACATACATTTTGTAAACTATGTATGTATAAGGATTGAGAAAATTTTCATCATATTGGCCTACTTATCCTTTTGGATAGCTTATGAATACGTAAAAAAGAGCTCTTGGCACGACTTCCAAAATAAGGTTCCACCGAGATTTGAACTCGGATCGCTGGATTCAGAGTCCAGAGTGCTAACCATTACACCATGGAACCTTGATAGTTACTTAACATTTCTTTGCTATTTTAGCTTTTTGCTATATCACTGCGCATGTGAAAGTTCATAAGAACAATTTGCTCTTAATTAAGAGAATTATTCCTATATCACTTTTAAAGTTCCTCAGAGCAGACACTGCAATCAAAAGAAAATTACTTACGAAGTCAGAATATGGTTACTTGCTCATCTTAATGCAAAAAAATAAATGCGTTTGACACAAGAGTATCCTTTAATCTATTTTTAGGCATAAAATTGGAGGAAACAGCCAGTAATTCTCTAATATTGAAATGTTTCAAAAATATCCCTCCGTCTCACTCATAATTCCCTATGGTTCGTTAGCAACAAAACTATCCGCGATGAGCTGGAATTCAAAGCATATCTGCAAAACCCCTTGTCAAACTGGCTAATCAAGCCAAGCCAATAAGATGAGGAAGATGAAAAGACATCGTATAAAAATAGTTTATTTTTGTTCCTTAAATTATTTTAATGAAGTTCCTTTACTTTTATTTAAGCGCCGTACCTATACTATTTTATTGTTTGTCTTAGGGCACAACAACCTTTTTATTTTTCTTATCTTGCTATAATATTTGTTTATTTTTTTAAATAGATTATAAATCAAATTTATAAAAAAAAGGCTCACGGACCAATCGACAGGGCGCAATCGGCAGGTTCTACCGAGATTTGAACTCGGATCGCTGGATTCAAAGTCCAGAGTGCTAACCATTACACCATAGAACCCCTTCTTGTGGCGCGGTCTATATGAGGTTTTGTATTTCAATAGATTAAAAATCAATATGGGAACTTTTTTTTTTTTTAGAAATTTTCGCTAGACGCTACTATCCAAGAAAACATAAAAAGGTGAACACAGGATGTTGTTTTGTGGGAAAAATAATAGAAAATAATTAAAGAAAAACACGCTTCCAAATTAATTACATATTGGCAAAAATATTTCCGTCTGTGATGTAAAAACAAGAATTCTTATCTTCATCTTCAGGACCCTTTCGTTAGCTCTAATATGTTAAACTACCTACTACCTCTAAATAATCTAGGCCTCATTTTAAATTTTTTGAAATCATAAATCTCTTGTAGTTATACACTCTTGCAAAACTATTTATATCCTTAGCAATATTCATCGATTTGTAAGAGGAGCAAAAGTTTTGTACCCACAGTCGACATACAATTGTCAAAATTGAAAATTGAAAATTGAAATATTTTCGATAAATTAATTTTATGTTCAAAACAATTATTTATGGAGAATTTTCTTGAAAATATTATTATAGAAATTTCGAAAAGATTTCATGTATATAAGAAAATAAAAAAAAAAATAAAGAAAACAGACAACAAAGAGGAAATATCTGTCCATTCATCTCTTACGCAATGGATCAGACAAACAGACATGGTCAATTCGTATAATCTTTGGATCAAATTTCTCTTGATAACGACTATCAAGATATTCACAGAAGCAATGAGAAATCGTTACAAATCATTCATTCTCGCGCAAAATTCGGCTATGCTACGTTAAATAAAGATACAATCAAAATTTTGCCTTTTTTCATCGAAGAAATTGAGGGTAATAAAATGAAAACTTCTGGAAGCGTTTGAAAAAGAAAAAAACTCACAATGGTAACTAACTATACCCTACACCACTTGTGGTAAAGGGTATATTAAGTTAGGCCGCTCATATGTAACACGCAGAAGGGCTTAAGCTGCACATACCTTTTATTATGCTGATCGATTCAGGATCATTATCTGAATTGATCTAAGCATGTCTGTCCGTCTGATGTTTGTCCATGTATATTTGTGTTCAAGCTACAGATCGGAATTTTTGAATTATTTCGATGAAATTTTATATAGTAACGTGTTTTCACTCAAGGACGAACGGTTAACTTTTTCGACCACTCCCCAGATAATGCCTTATTCTGAAAAGCCATTATATGGAAAAAAATTGCAATTTTCAAAATATCTCAGCAAACGTGGCGAAATAGTAGTAGTAGGTGGGGTAATTTTCTAACCCCTCATATAACGAGAATTAAAGTTCATACGTGAAAATCGTATAATTTTGAATGCTTCATGATGAAAATTATATCGTAACAGTAATTTAACATGGAAAAATTAACTGCAACAAATTCGGGCCATTTCAACCTATTTTGTTGGTGTAGCGTATTTAATGGTTGGCCTTGCCCGACTATAATATTCTTACTA